TCTGGATATTTTGATTCTGACTTTAAAATAGTTTCTGTAGCTCTGCTCTGTCAGACTCAAGACAGTTTTAATGGATGTAAATACCACACTAGATTTAATATTAAGACTGAAAAAGCACACGTAAAAGCAGCTCTTTTGAGGATGGTTAGTTAGTTCCATAGGATCATAGTGAAAGGTCCGATGTGGCGTCTAGTCAGTAACTGTTTTATATGACTGTAATGCCACTCCTTTTTAGTGGGGCTCTCTACAACCACACTGTCTGTATAAGAACGCTTTCTCACAGGGAAGAGGTTCAGTGCAAACTTAAAGTGTAATATCTTCCCCATTGTGTCACATCAACAACAACTGAATGCTACTTCGTAAGCTTTATAATAACAACATTTCCCTCAGTGAAAGCAGAGTAGCTGCTCCCGATACAGGTACAAGAAGACCCCACTTATTACAGTAAAAACATATAATAACTTTCCAGCCCGGTTACAGCAAAGTAAGGGGGTGTTTCCATTTGATAATTGACAGCGGCACAGTTTGCGTATGCAGTATGCATATGAATGACCAAGACATTTCCTCACACAATGTGCCAATGAATTAAAGCTGCAGTGGGGGGAAGTTTCCGTAACTATATACAAAAAAATAAACAAAAATAGCCAGAAATACAGTATCTGACAAAATCTGTCTGACATGTAATATCCTCTTAGATAATTACATCCACTAAAGCAGTAGTTTCAGGACACTCACTAGGCTAAGCTAGCAAGTTCAGTTAATTAGTGCATGAGCAGAGGAGGCAGTCTGGATGTATTTGCTGAATAATCAGATTTTGAGGTAAACTTAAACACAATGTTGTGTAATTGAAGTAAACCAACACTGAACCGGCAGCAAAAGTGTGTTTAACTGTAGTTTGTCAACTGTATCAGAGTCAGCAGAAATTTATAAATTTGTAGTTTTAATGTTTTTTTCCAAACATATAGATCAGAGTTCATCATGATAAGCCAGGAGTCAGTCTGCACATCACTGCCCATCAGCTCCACTCACTCAAAGCTTACTCACCCGCCCATGAACGTCAAAGTAAACGTAAAGCGTGACCACCAGGCACGCAGCCACCAGCACGTTCTGCACGGCGACGACCAGCGCGAGCTTCCTCGAGCGCTTGCCTCGTTGTCTCACGCAGCATCTGTCAGCATCCATCCTCCTCCGGTCCATCAGTGCTCTGAGCGCCCTGCGGGATCTCAGTGAGGCTTTTAACGCGAGTGGGCAAGGTGAGAGGAGGGGAGTGACTGGAAAGAAGCCGCTCGTGATCTACTCTTTGACTGTGTGTGGGTGGGGGGGTTGCAGCGCGCCCGTGCGACACACACACGGCTACACGCGCACGCGCACAGCGTGTGGGATAAGCAGGAGTGAAACCAGCGCACCGGGAGCTGATTGGTTAACACGATGCTCTTCTGCGCGACTCACTGCGGTGCTGGTACACAAACAGAGTGGCTTGAAACCTCCCACATCACGCTTCAATCACGTCCATGTTCCCATAATTTTCATATGGGGGTGCAGTGTGAGATGTGAACCCGCTGAAGTTGGGCCACAACTTGTTTCTAGGAAACCAAAGACAGAACTTATCAGGCTATATTATATGATATTCGTCGACTGTAGTCGCACTGTAATAGATTCAGTTAAATAATGAATCAGCCTGGTTTATTTGATTCAACAAGACAGTCAAGTTTTGAGTGTCTTCACAGCGGCTCACTGTTATACTTTCACCACCTTATTAAGTAACTTACTAATTAAGTTTTGTTACCTTGTTAAGATAAATTAACTTTAAACATTCTTGTCTTTAGTTTGATAGCCCTAACAACTGCATAGGCCACATTAGTAGGCAAAGGACAAAGAACCTGGAAACACAGGGTAGTTAATCATAAAGAGAAAACATTTAACAGCATCTCACTAAATTGCGCATCAGTTTCTTGCCATAATATCCTACCTGCGGCAAAATGTGAAATTGAATATGTCAAAACATGTTAGGTCTGGGGGAAAGCTGTGGTTTTGGAACATTTTCGTGGTGTATTGTGTGAAGCACATGAAAATTCCCTAGTAAAACCTAAGGGATTACATGTGAAACAACTCCAAAGAGAGCATGAAAACCAGCTTATTCATGTTATGTAAGATTCCAAATAAGCGTCTTGTAATGGGTCCATTAACAAACTTTTCCATTCCTTTAGAACTTCTTCCAGTTTTTCTCACATATGTTCTCAGTTAACACCGCCCACCTCCTCGTAGCCCAAGTTATAGTTTATTAAACGCAAATTTTGGGAAATATACTTATTCGCTTTCTTGCCATGAGTTAGACGAGAAGAGCGATACCACTCTTATGTCTGTACACTCAATATGAAGCTACAGCCAGCAGTCTGTTAGCTTAGCTTAGCATAATGACTGGAAGCAAGAGGAAACAGCTAGCCAGGCTCAGTCCGAAATAAAGACAATCTCCCTACCAGCACCTTTAAAGCTCGCAAATTGACAGGTTACATCTAAGTTGTAATGTAAAACCCAGGCACAGTGACTTCTGTGTTTACACAAACACAATATATTTTAATATTTAGGGAGTTTTAGAGCTGCTGCCAACAGAAAATGGTAGCAACAAAGAGAATCAAATCAAATCAAATGTTGTTGCCTTTGGATTTGTTAGTATGTCCCTATTGTCTATATATTTATGCACTAATTGGTGAATAAAGGGAAAAAACATTTATTTAAAACAACTTTTCATCCAACACTGCAATAAAGCATATTCTTTCAAGAACAAGCGCCACATAACATAATGTCAACTAAAATATTAAAGGTATTGAAACTAGATTTTACACAGGCTCTCTATATTTCATTCTGTAGCAAACAAATAAAAACTATTTGGCACACACTGAACATCCATCAGCATTGAATCAGTGTATTGCTTGTGTTTAATCTGTGTAGTTCCCCTTTAAAATCCAAGCGCTGCATGACACCCTTATCACAGTGAGTCAAGGTGTGGCAGCTTTATCTCATTAGTCTCACTGGCTCACTTTAGGAGAGTGATGTATAGTGTAATTCTGGTACTTGTACAGACTTAAGTCATCATGCCATACTTCATCTTTACCTCCCACACACAGGTTTTGATACTCCCATAATAGGTGTTGGGACATCTGCAGGGACCATCACATTCAGTGATGAGTTTACAGTAACTACAGAAGCTTAATGGTACTCTGTCCATTCCTCATGGTATCTATAATGCACACAAATTATCCTAGAGGGACATCTAGTGTCTGTGGTACTGAGGTAGTAATGAGTTAATTCAGAAAACATATTATTCTAGGATCAAAGAGAGTGGAAAATAGTCACATGGAAGAATGATAAATGTATATATGTATGATGGCAGCTACAGAGAAAAACAGACACAATATGAAGATATCAGGAAACTCCGTGTTGTCCCTGTGTAGAAGCACATTCAGTATTGGTTCTGACATGCCCCGACATGACATATATTGTGGTTTTCAACAAAGTTTCAGTGTTTTGGTAAGTGTCCTAAGTAAAAAGACCTGCTTAGCCTAAACGGAACAGGTGCCTCACATCATCTGGCTTGTTGCACACACAAACACAGAGAGGCTGGATGTGACAGCAAGATCAGCAGGCAGCTAAGAATTAACATCTGCAGGTGGGGGAAAGGGGGGGGGGAAAGGGGGGGGGGAGGGGGGGGTCTGCCACGTGGTTTCACAATTAAGTTTCCCCTCTGTGGGAGCAGCACAAACAACAAAACTCAATTGAATAAGAGACTCATAGTATACACTGTAGCCACGATACCACCACTGCCAGGGTCAACAAACAAGATGAAGTAAATGTCAAATGATAAGGATAAGCTCCTGTGGTGAAAGATGATCTGTAACAGAAGCACACGCTCAAATGGGGAAATCCATCGCCAGAAGTACTGTAACAACACTTAGATCTGTTCACAGTCACAAAGATTCATTCAAGTAACACTGAGTTGTCAGAGGGATGAGGAGTGGTTTTTTTTTTGTGTGTGTGTTTTTGTGGACAACTGGGTACTTCAATTTCAGCTGACAGACATCAAGAGCAAAAGGGTTAGGAAAGTTTGAGTTTGTGGAAGACAAGTGCTATCTGGTTAATCATCAGCAGCCCACACACATCCTTTTATAAACTCATGCACCTTGAGTGTGCAAACACGACGTTAAAGACTTGTCAAATGCAAAACTGATGATTATAGTTTGCCCGAATTTACAATTTGCCCACAGTGAAAAATTGAAAATCAACATAGCGTTCTGAAATGTCACATCTGCTATCAGTTCAGTTACAGATAGCTGTCTTTACAACAGCTGATGCATTCACAGGTGTGCTAACCACAACTGAAAACACCTCCCCACCTCAATCAACCAAGGCAGCGTCAAAACTTTTTTTTTTTGTGATGTGTTCTGTGTCTGCTTGAGTCTCTAGATGGCATGAAAACAAACCTCTAATCAAAGCTGAGGCCAGGAATCAGACAGTGAGACAGACCTTGCAGTGCGCACAATTAGTTCGAAACAATCTCAGCTAATGGCGTGAAGTCAAATCGCAGAGGCATGGGAATGGCCGTTTGTGATCACACCTCTGACTAATATGTGACCAGCAAGAGTTACTGTCGGCTCAAATTTGAACTAAGATAATCGCCCGAGAAGCGACACAATTTTGGAAAAAGTGAAAACAAAATTTTACAGAAAGTGAGACGGTGAAAGATGACTTATTTTAAACTAAATGTTAACTATACCCAGTGTGTTCCAGATATGACCGGTAATGCATCTCAGAACAAATATGACTAAAATAAAAAACATCTGAGCGACTAAAAAGTAAGACTAAAGTCCCAACACGAACGGCGGCACCACATCAAACCAAATCGTTTTTTTTTAGTAGCACTAGCAGCACCAACACATATTTCAAAACAGACTTTGTTCTTTTTTACTTCTGTACACATGAAGGAGAGATGACTGAGAGAGAACCACATTTAAATAGTTCAGTTTAATGCTGAAGATGAATACACACACCCAACCTTTGTGTCCCCTCACTTCAAGTCTGACATGTCAGTAGCTTTGTTTATTAACGGCACAATATGGCACTCCTCCATACACACAGATACACACCCCCACACTTACGCACGCCCGCACGTACCCTTAAGTTTATTTAATATTGTAATCCACAAATTTATATTCTTTCGTCCCATAATTCTATGTCACTATTTCTTCAAATATGTACACAATGATGGGGTAGGGCTGATCTCCAAAGTTCAATTTCAGGTCAAGGGGGGGGGGGGGGGGGAACAAAAACATTTTCAGTTCTAAAGTGATTTAATTTCCTGTCAGTTCAACAGGAATCTACATTGCAGTTTCTTGGACTGTAAGCTCCAGCTCCAGCCTGAAACATGGCTGCACAGGGTCTTTCATCGAGGCGTCGGTGGCTCATTTTCACCTCCTGCTCTTTTTGAGTGTCTCTCCGAGCTCCGATTCTTCCTCCGTAATTGACTCCTAAGGGAAAGCTTCACTGGGAGGGAGAATTTGGCACAAGGCAAAAGTGTCATCACAGCCAGTAGTAGTAGATGGAGGGGTCCTTACAGCAGATTCTGTCCTATAGTGTACAACAGTCCTGAGAAAACGTTTATATAGCTGAAGGTGACAACACTTTGAATCCAGTGATTCCTTTTAGAGAATCACTCCAGTCTTATTGGAGTGACAACCAAGAAAAGGGTGGGCGGTACACAGTCTTTCATCCACTCTGTCGATCAATTTACTCACTATGCATCTTTTGATTTAACACCAGGGCTCTTCCATTTGATCTGTCACCTCCTGCCATATCCCTCTCCTCTGTCCCTGGCTCAGGAGGTTGAGTCCCGGCTGTTCCTGTTTTCTCCTGTCCCGTATTTCTAGGGATGTGGGAGATTCATTCGGTCCTCTATTAGAGTGTTGTCAGGGCCCTGTGCCTCCATACACTGCTTGACAGTTGCAATGACTCCAGACAGACGCCTGTCGAGGGCTGTGAGGTGTGTCTCAGCCAGGATCGGGTGGATAGGGTCGAATGCCAGAGCCTGCCGCATAGCTGAACTCAGAGCTCCGCCTCTCAGCAGGTTTAACCTGTTCCATGTGGACACACGAACCCTGACAGAGAAAGGAAAAGCGAGACATATTATAGTAAAAAAAATTATCATAAAACTTTGATTTGATGGACTTTGATAATTTTGTGGGTACTCACATGCAGCACTGATAGAGTGGTGCTAGGATACTTCGCTCATCCAGAGCTGCGTTCCCGAAGCTGCACATAGAAAAAAAAAGGCTATTAAAAACTAATGTAAGGCAACTGAAGCAAGAGGCCCGCCATCAAAATGCACTAGCCACACTATACTAGCCATGGCACTGTACAGAACTGCACACACACGTGCCAAATCACACACTCCACTCAGCAAAGTCAATTAAGGTGACAAATGTCCGGCAGAAGAATCAAGCAGTGTTCTGAGACAAACCCATCAACTTCCTTTCAAACAGGTTTTAGGACAAGCTGACAAATGAGATCAAGTGGGACATTGGCCCCATCATTATCACATTTTATGTGGATGTCCGATCTGTGCGCATTAGTCCACACCACTATCTGATCAGCTGTACTCTGCACCATGTGACAGCCCACATTTCCCACCATGCCTACAGCTGGACTACTTTGTTAAGTTTGCTGTTTTATGTTCCAAAATGCAATTGTTACTTTGTGTTTTTAATGTTTCTGTTCAGGACATGGTGGCTTATGTTATTGTTGGTAACTGTCATTTTTGTGCTGGTTTCCATTCAGCCAACCACCTCAGAACTCAGCTGCAACTCCTTTAACATCGCCTGTCTGTGCAAAAAAAACCCCACACAGATGTGAGTTAGATTAAAGTTGGTGAGAGACTGATGTTATTCTTTTTGCCCTATTGCACCTAATGTAACAGTTTGCTCAACTCTTGGAAGCAGTGTGCAAGAATCTGCTGCTGCTTAAAAGACAGCCTCTTCTCTGATAGGGATCCCAGATTTGTGACAAAATATCAAGGAAAAAAATATCATGAAGCCACCAGCATTACACTTACTTACTGGATGTTTTTTCATTCACTATATAGAGAAAAACATCCATTTAGCCCAGTAAACAGTTTCCTCACAGAGAGAACTGACTGTTGTTGCTGATGCTGCTACAGGGGTCTGCCCTTGGTCCACTGCCGTTTATTCTATACCTAAACAACAATTATTCCTCATCAATACTTCAATGTCCCTGGTCCAGGCTATGTCTGTCTTTGACCACGATATTCTGTACTGTCATGCTGCAGGTAAACCCTGAGTATCACACTACTATACTTTGTCACAAATGACAGGTTTGGTACTCATCACTGTTCTCTGTATCACATGGTTGGATGAACATCCCTGCAGTCAAGAAGCCATCTTATGTTGTTCATCTGTAAAGCTCTACTGTGCTCTTTTCTTATTTGAATCTGGTTACTACAGAACACAACCCACTAACTACCTAACATTATATATCCCTCATGTACGCACTAATGTTGGCAGAACTGGTTTTAGGTACTGTGCCCCTTTTAAATAGTAAGAACTGCAAACTGCCCTCAAACTGGAGTCTTACATTCCACCTGGAGATTATAAACATGTATTTTCTAATGTTTTCAATCATGCTTGTTTATTGCGCAGCTGTGTTGTTTCTGCGCTCTTGTTTCTTGTTCTCAGGTCTCTCTTGGAAAAGAAATCTCAATAAGAGTGTCTGATTAAATCCCTGACAACTGATTACTTCTTGAATGAAAAAAAAAGGTTAACAAGTACGACTGTAAAGTTTCCACTGCTTGATCTCCAAGAGCAAAATAACATCAAAGAGGCATTAACGGCTCGTCCTCACTTCATGGAAGGGGTTGTTCAACATGAGTCAGTTATAAAGTGGTTTCGTTGGCGATAAGTGAGTTGGGCATGCAGGAAAATGTCAAAACAAGCTGTAACTGAAAATGAAAATAAAAGTTAGACTTCAAATATGAGAAGCTAAAGGGAGCTTCTTGAAAATAATTCAGCTGTTCTCATATGTCATATGATGACTGTAATGATTTATGATACTACCGTTTAATTAGGCCACAAAATAAACTTCATTAAATGGCACCATATACACTAGTGAAACAACACCAGACCACAGAGTCCTGATGTCCAAACCAACAACAAATTCCATATCTACAGAGGCACTTTCCAGCCTCAGCATACAACTGACCATCAGTTATAAAATATACAACTACCTTACTCTGTACAGCCTTACTGGAATTAACCATTAAAGGGGACACGACTCCGACCACAGCAGCTGCAGCCCACAAACACATGTTAAAGCAAAGGAGAGAATACAGTGTTTATACACCGCGTAACACACACACAAGCTACCAACAGTATCGATATCAGTATCAGTACCAATCTGTACATTCACAGTACAGTGTTTCCCACAGAATTACCGTAATTGTTGCCACAAGCGGTGGGGGAGTGGGGTGGGTGAGGGTTGGTGCAGTGGATAGTGACTAGTAGCTATTTACAGCTGCTAACCCGGACAACCCAGCTATTTTCGTTAACATAACTATCCTTATAAGCTAGGTTCCTTACATTCTTGCTTAGAACTTATTTGGAGGTGGGTCTCCGACAGAAATCAGACCAACTTCTCAGAGTTAACTTGAATGCATTCATTTTTGACACACAGCTCCGTTTCAATGAGTTTGTGAGAGAGAGAGGTTGGGAGCGAGCAAGCGGAGGTGCTGGGCAAATCTTTGCGCTGCACGCAGCTGATCATCCCTTCAATAGTCATTAGGTGATCTAATCACCAATCGACACAATCCTACTCAGCGGGAGGTGCATTGTTTCACTGATTAATTCACTGATCCCTTGCTATGCATTTATGTCCAGTTTCTTTGGCTCTTTTCTTCAGTTCCATTCTCACAGGGGTTATCAGGACTTTTTCATGTGACTTTCGTTGTTACTCTTTTACTGATTTTTTAATATACTCACAGTACACAAATAAAACAACCTGTTTACAGTCACGCAAGTAAATGTAATTTGTTACTTCCACCCATGGTTGTGTTACTGGTTAGAGCTGGGACAAAATTTACTCCCCGCACCTTCCCTCGCTCCACTCCCATTTTCTCTACCATAAACCCCCCTCACCATCCACCTCCACCAATGGTTCTAAGTCCTCCAGGTTTGACAGGTGTCACAAATACAGCGCACAACCCGCCTTCCCGCTCCGCAATGGCGAAAAAGCCCAGTAAGCTCTGTCCTCGTCAGCCGCAACCTGTCAAAAAAAGTGGGCCAGATAATGTTTTCAACACACTAAATTTAACTTTGTTAAACGTTAGGTCTTTGGCAGGAAAAACATTTTTAATCAATGATTTTATAATCACTCACAATCTTAATTTCATGTTTTTAACTGAAACCTGGTTGGACCAAGAAAGCACTGCAGCTGACCTTATCGAGTCTACCCCTCCCACTTCAGTTTCATGAGTGAAGCTGGAGTGCATAAGAGAGGAGGTGAGTTGCCATTTTGTTTAATGACTCCCTCTAATGCAAAAAGATGTCTTATGGGAATTTTGCTTCTTTTGAATATGTGGCTCTTCAGCTGAATTCCTCTTCTCGAGCTAGTTTTCTAAATATCTACAGGCCCCCTAAATACTGTGCAAACTTTTTTGATGACTTTGGTGAACTGCTGTCCATAATCTGTATTGACTTTGATTGTGTGGTTATTGTTGGTGATTTTAACATCCATGTTGACAACCCCCAGGACAGAGGGACTAAAGAATTGTTTTGTGTTCTTGATAATTAAGGACTGACCCAACATGTAACGGAGCCCACACACAATAAGGGGCACACTTTCAACTTAGTCATCTCCAAGGGTCTGGACATTTCCAAGGTTGTGGTGACTGATGTTGTTCTCTCTGATCATTCCTGTGTTTTCTTTGAGAGTGCTATCTGCGTGCACACAAATGTACAAACAGAGATAATCACAAAACGGCATATCACTGAAAACACTAGTGAAAAATTTATTGAGGCTTTCTCCTCGACACCTGCCCTCTCACGGGTCTCAGTCAATGAGCTTGTAGATAATTTCAGTTCTAAAATTAGAAATGTTATTGATGCCATTGCACCAGCCAAGGTGAAGGTGGTCTCTGGTAAGAGAAGATCTCCATGGAGAAATGCCTCGCTGGTTAGAACTCAAAAAAGAGAGTGTCGAAAACCTGAACGCAGGTGGCGTAAAACAAATCTCCAGGTTCATTCTGACATCTATAAAGAGAGACATTTATAATTTATGCAATGCAAGGCAGTCCTCCTTCTCTGACATCATCACCAAAAACACTAATAATTCACGTGCCCTGTTTGCTACTGTCGACAGGCTAACCAACCCTCCTGTGTCTGTAGCCTCTGAACTTCTATCCACCAGGGCCTGCGATGAATTTGCGTCCTTCTTCACAGACAAAATTCAAACAATTAGACAAACAATCAGTGCCTCCATGTCAGTAACAGGATATATATTGTCCCTGTGTCCACTTAAAAACAATTCTTATAGCATGAGACAATTTGATTCTATTAACCATAAAAACCTGGAGGACATAATACAACATCTGAAATCCTCCTCATGCTGCCTTGATATTCTGCCAAAAATGTCTCTAAATGCATGGCCTCAGATCTACTACAAATTGTCAACATGTCTCCCCTCTCACGTTTTTCCCCACAGGCCCTGAAAACTGCAGTCATTAAGCCACTCTTAAAAAAGAGTAATCTAGAGAGGTCACTAATGAGCAGTTACAGGCTCAAATCAAATCTCCCATTTTTAAGTAAAATCATTGAAAAGGCTGTTTTTCAACAGCTTAGTGCTTTCTTGGCACTAAATAACTGTTTTGATGTCTTCCAGTCAGGTTTTCGACCACACCACAGCACTGAGACGGCTCTTGTTAAGGTCTTCAATGACATCCAATTAAACACTGACAGTGGCAGAATTTCTGTCTTAGTATTATTGGATGTCAGTGCTGCATTCGACACGGTCGACCACAACATACTAGACAGACTTGAAAACTGGGTTGGACTTTCTGGCACAGTACTAAAATGGTTTGATTCCTACTTGAAGGACAGGGACTACTTTGTGTCTATAGGTAATCACACATCTGAGTTGACAAAAATGACATGTGGAGTTCCCCAAGGCTCCATTCTAGGGCCTCTTTTGTTTAACATTTACATGCTTCCACTGGCTCAGATATGTAAAACAACAAAATATGTTACCATAATTATGCATATGACACACAGATTTACATAACCATTTCACCAGGGGACTATGATCCCATACGGGTGCTTAGTAACTGTATTGAGCAGGTCAACGGCTGGATGTGCCAGAATTTTCTTCAATTGAACAAAGATAAAACTGAAGTTATTGTGTTTTTGGAGCCAGGGAGGAACGATTGAAAGTCAGCGCTCGACTTCAATCTGCAATGTTAAGAACCACAAATCAAGCCAGAAATCTTGGTGTAGTCATGGACTCAGACCTGAATTTGAGGAGCCACATTAAGACTTATGTCTCAGCAAGACCTGGAAAAGCTGATCCATGCATTTATCTTCAGTCGACTTGACTACTGTAACAGTGTCCTTACAGGGCTCCCTAAGAAATCCATCAGACAGCTGCATCTGATTCAAGATGCAGCTGCTTGAGTCCTCACTAAGACCAAAAAGGTCCATCACTCCAGTTCTGAGGTCTTTACATTGGCTTCCTGTATGTCAAAGAATTGATTTCAAAATCCTGCTGTTAGTTTATAAAGCACTAAATGGTTTAGGGCCAAAACACATTTCTGATCTTCTGCTTCGTTATGAACCATCCAGGCCTCTCAGGTTGTCTGGGGCAGGTTTGCTTTCTGTCCCCAGAGTCAAATTTTTTTATCTTTCATGTTAATGTTGCAAAACTCATTTTTTTTGTGACATCACCGGTTAAACTGATAATTGTCCATTGACAGTAATCTCCCTTTTGTGCCAATGTGGTTTAATTTTAGTGTCCAATGATGAGTTACGTTTATGAAGAACTTCCAATGAATTTTACAATGAACATTTGGATTCGCCCATATCATTGAAAAACCTTGTTTTTGTTTCTTTTTGATTGTTTATTAGTGTAACTTAATATGTTACTAACATATTGTACAGAGTTTAAAGCCCCTTGAGGAAAACTTGTGATTTGCGATATTGGGCTATACTAAGAATGGGGGGAAATTATGATCTGTTATTATAAAAAGTGAAAAAAATAAGAGGACAAAAGAATTGATCTTTATTGTTAAAATCCCCCACATCACTACCAACCTCTTAGCGTTGTCGAGCAGGATGAGCATGCTGGCACCGCCATCATCCTGGAAACTCTCATAGTGATGCCGATCAGCGTTCCCAATGAGATAATCAAATATGGCTGTGTCGATGACGTCCAGCAGCCTTGGTCCTGCATCGTATGGAGGCATTTTCTTCACCGCCTCACAGTAACTCTCATCGTACTCCCACCTGGACAATACACACATCAACTGGAATCAGATCCAGATCTAGCATGTTTTCCAATAAATGGTATGTCATACACCAAGACACAGCTGTAAATACTCACATAAATACTGAAAATGTATTTCAAGTCAGTAAAAATGTAGCCTGACATGTTAAAAATTCTTATAAAATTTAAAACCTATGTGGAACTTATGTGTTCAGTGTTTTTTTTGCTTTGTTTGTGTGTGGGATAGAGAGAAAGATGAATTTCTTGCTCTTTATACACAGTACTTCTGTGAATTACACTCTCATTACTGCATTCTCCCTGCCCTCAGCAGAGACGGCCGAGACACAGACTCTCATGATCTAAAGCCAAGCACGTTTGGTAGCAAACTCCATGCTCTAATGAACGAACAGACCTGGCCTCTATTTCTTCATTTTAATATCACACTATTTATTATTTTAAATCAATAACCTGGTATGGTGGAAACAGGATCCCAATAACATGACACATACTGTGGTTGAGTAAACCTAATAAAGCTTGCTTGACTTCCCTGATCATATCTTACATTGGAAAAGAGAGACAAGAGAGCGAGTTCCCAGATTCTATACTGAATAGTTTAGTAATTTCACCTAATTTTAACCTCTTGCACTTTAAATGCTCTTGAACTTCTGCTTTAGTAAAATCAGATGACATTCAGTGCACTCAGTGGGGAACATCATTACTGCTGAGCGAAGCTGGCCTGCGCAATTTTTCAGCTTTAACTCAGCAGGTGCACTGTCATCAGTGAAAGAAAGCTGAATCAGATCTAAAGTGAAATTCTGTTAAAATTCACTCTTCAGTTATTCTGTACCTCAGCTTTTGCTTAACATTTAATGACCACTGAGTCGGTGCGAATTGCCATGATCAAGGCAAATTCTTTCAGATGATGTCAATACAATGTGTCGTCCTGCTGTATCTAGAATCCGCAGCAGAATATCCACCTTAAACTGTCATTCACAATTTAGTCTTAGTAACGCAGCATAATGGCAGCAGAAAAATTAGACCATGAACAAGAATTGGGTTCAGAACAAGAGGACTGTGAAGCAAAGTTATAGGACGACTGTGTCTACCCTGACTGTAGCAAGAAAGTATTACATTATCTCAGAGGCAAACACATGCAGACATATACAGCTGCATCTCAAAAATTTAAAAGTTCATTTTCTTCCGTAATTTAATTCAAAAAGTGAAACTTTCATATATTCTACATTCATTACACATTAAGTGAAATATATCTTCATGATTACTCTAGTATCTCCATACAGGAATGTTTCAAACACCTGAGCCTTTAATCTCTCAGTCTGGTTCTGGTGCTTACAATGAACTTTTCCATGATATTCAAATTTTTTGAGCATGTTGTAGTGAACAACGTTGTGGATTTGTGCATTTTATATTGAATAAATTTGGAGCTACTCTAAATTCCTTTCTCCTCCCCAGAGAAGAAGGGGAGGGGTCAAAGTTGCTTTCTCTAAGTGCTATCCCGACCATAAAACTGGCACCTTTTTGATTCCGAAGCTGACAGCAGGGCCTGACTGTTAAACTGACAAAGGGACACGAACCAGCCATTGGCATTTCCCTAAACAGCCTATCAAAACTGGCCCCCCACACACGTTTCCGTGGCAACTGACCTTATTCTTGGTTTATTACCACATCAAAAAGGAAAACCCCTATCTCACCCAAGTGTGACATGGTCCAGACGCCAAACTTTGGATGACAAAGGACTGCAGTCTCCAAAGATTCAAAGCATTTAATTAAGTTTAATTAAATCTTTAGTTACCTGGTTACGTTTGCCTCTATTTGAGTAGTTATGTAAACTGTTGTTGCTATCTGTTGTTGATATTAGTGCTGAAAAGAAGTTACTTTTCAGCAGTTAGTTTATTTTCAGCAAGACACTCCTTCATCTAATGTAATCAATGCTTGTTCATAATACTTTCCTACAAAATTCCTTTAGAAATGATGACAAAGGAATGTTTTACTATACTCTTAACTGCTGGCTTGAATTTAAGGATGAATCAACAAAAATTCCTCGGTTCCTAAGGAGAGATGATCTTTGATTTAATCCAAGCTTTCCTCATGTAACCTGAGCTCCCCCAAGTGGACGAAATAAGTATTACATGCCCTCGTCGGAAATGCCGTTAAATGTATAAATATCCTGACCAATAATGTGACAATTGTTTCCTGTTACCAAATGCCTAGAACAGTACAACCGTCTGACCATTGAGGTTCGGTTGTGGAAAATATTTGATTATAATACGTGCAAATAGATTTCTTTTCTTTAAACATTAAGTTTAGAGAGGCAGTCCCTTAGGAAACCTGAGACGCCCCCTGGGGAACCACGCCCCAGGCAACAAAAGAGCGACACGCGACCTCGCTTCGTGCTTCTCTTCGCTGTTGGCTTTCTTCCACTCTGCTCTGCTCGCTGGACGCTTCGGCACGCACGTGGCGTGCCTCGCCAGGCAACGCCCAGACTCGGCCAGCGAAACAGGCCCTTTTGTTCGCCTGAAGCTACACACCTGAAGTGCCGCGACATCGATCTGCCTTCAGTTTGTTTTATTTTCTTTATTTCTTTTGTTTGTTAAAGTTATCAGTCCATTAAGTTACACTGCCTTTTTTGTCGAGCCAACTTCACCGAGGTCAGACCAAGCCACGTGGTCTCGCCAGCTACAACGAAGGAAACCTGAAAACAGCCGAATTGCCAGACGGAGGAGGCGTTTTCAATCAGACACGGAGAACCCCGGAGAATCCCTAGCAAAAAGCCAGGATCGGCAGCTAGTGGGACCCGTGCAACAGGCCAAAGCAGATGGTCGACAAGCAGTAAGACTCAACACACGTTCTGTGATCAGATGTCCATTGTAACTCCTAAATTATAGCATTAGTTTACTTTCATTAGCTCTTCTATGCCGTATGAGTCCAATGCTTCCCACAATCGAACCTCCAGGCTCATTGTTAAGCAAATGTTTATGTTCCCTGTATCCAACCATTTTTTTATCACCTTAGTTAGAGAATAAATTCACTGTAATATAATCAAGAGCTGTGTGTGTTGCCTATTTATAGTTCCTGCCAAGAGAATTGACCCTTTAGATATGAGACTGACTGACTGATTTAAGATAATTGAGCGATTATTAACTAACTGATCACTAGTAATAATTGTATAATTATTCAAAACTACCTAGAGGTCCGGAGACTCTAGGATTATAACAACTCCGGTGGTGCCCTTAACGAGGAAAATCTTGATTTTATGAATCTTCAATTATGAATTCATAATTGGGTATCAATTCTCATAAATTTATTAAAATGCATAACTAAAAATAAATTTTTAGGTCTGCTACAATGTATATGCCCAATTATCACATCATTGACTGTTGATTGATTGATTTGAAGAGCAGTTGATCCACTCAAACTGTAGGATGACATTCTGGTATTCATGTTAGCTTAGCCAAAATGTTTGTAAGCATGCCTAATACATAATGCAATCCACTACTACTTAAAACGTAATTGTCAACATTTTATTTTATGGGTGTGTAATTTTTTTATCATTTCCATTAAGTTTCCTGGAACAATATAATGTAGTACTTATTAAGGGGGAAAACAGGAATGTACTTGTTACATTTAAAAAAGTTAATACTTTGCTGTTCATTTATTATCGGAAACCTTTTTCTTCATACTCAGGGCTCTAAACTAACCTTTTTCCCAAGGAGCACGTGGGCTCCTAAATGAAAAAGAAAGAAAAAAAAACTTAGGAGCACAGTGAAAAATGTTCACGTAAGACAGAGTTTATTAACAGGGAATTTATTACATAAACAAAATTATAAACGCAACACTTTTGTTTTTGCCCCTATTCATCATGAGCTGAACTTGATGATCTAAGACTTTCTCTATGTACACAAAAGGCCTATTTCTCTCAAATATTGTTCACAAATCTGTCAAAATCTGTGTCGCAAGTTTTGAGTGAGCGTGCAGTTGGCATGCTGACTGCAGGAATGTCCACCAGAGCTGTTGCCCGTGAACTGAATGTTAATTTCTATACTATAAGCCGTCTCCAAAGGCGTTTCAGAGAAATTGGCAGGACGTCTAACTAGGGCTGGATGATTAAGCAAAGGCTGCGATTACACTCTGGTCACATGACACGCCAGAGTAAACCAGTCTGCAGAGGAATCATCATCTTTGCATGTTATGCTGCACCTTGACTTGTTGTAGAATGGCCTTAAGCTTGACAGAAGCTGACACTACAGAAACTTTAATGTCACACAGGGAATGAAAGTAGCAACCGCGGGTAACTTGGTGGTGGTGGGGGAAATCGGCAGGCCATTCGCTGCTTTGATGGACAGGAAAAGTGCACAACAGAAAGACACGTGGAGTAAGGTAAGCGTATTGTGGCGATCGCGCCAGTGTCAGACACACAGCCACCAGCTCAGGAAATATCTGTGAAACGGCGTTTCAAACCAAACTCCAAACTTTCAAACCAAACTCCAAAAGAGGCTGTCCCAAGTTACAGCCTGGTTACAGCCACTCCGCTGCTTACTAGCATTAGAGGCCGTGGGGGTGGGGGACTCCAGTGTTGTCGGAGAATTACTAAGCTGGTCTATTAAACACGAGAGGTGTCACTTTTGAAATGAACCTCAAACTGAATGCTTTTTTTGTTTGCTTACTGGGATATAGAAAAGGAGGTTTTTGATGAGAGATGGACTTTTGCAGAGATTTGAACTGCGATAAGGACGCATTCATTTGTGATTGAACTGTGGGTTTTGCATTGTAAGTGAATAAATAAAGTTTATTTATTTAGCACCTTTCACAGATAAAAATCACAATGTGCTTCACAACAATATCTAATACAATACAAAGTAAAATACAATGCATAAGAAAATTTAATACAAATGGAAAATATAGAACAAAACCATAAAATCCCCACGTCTAACTAAAAGCCTGCTTGAACAGCAGCGTCTTCAGTTGCTTTTTAAAAGAATCAACAGAATTCACAAAACGTAGA